GGAAGTCCCATCTGTACCTTCCGTCCAGCAATTGCCCCCCCCCCAATTGACAAGTCAAGAACCAATTGGGGAACTAGACCTTAGCAACAGAACCTCCCCTTACACACTTGTCATCATGCCTGAGGACCTGAGTTCAATCCCAGAACATACATGGTATAGGAAGAGAACTCTCTCCCGCAGGTTACCCTCTGGCTGCCACCAGACCTGTAAAACCTTTTGTTGAAACTCAGTTGTGCCCTTTCTTGCCTGCGTGGTCCTGCGTTGCTTCTTCCGCATTCTAATGGCAGGACCCTCGCTGCTGGGACTTGTGACTGATTGTAGTTACTACTTGAGCCTTCACAGAAACTTTGATACTGCCACAAATAGTGTGGATTACTTTAAGGAAAAGGAGAAAAATGAGGTGTCTGTCTGTCTGTCTGTCTCACTACCCCTTCTGCCACTGTAAGGTAAGGGTGCTAGCAGGTAAAGCCAATAGAATCTAGAAATTTCTTTGCTCATTCTGGTGGCTCAGGTCCCTTTGGGCAGGCATGTTTCAAGCTATCCTTGGAGGTAGAGGTGAGACGTGGAGTCAGTCTGAGCTTAAATTCTCCCAGAGAGTCCCCACACCTCCGTGGAGGGACAGTATTTAGAGCCCTGGGATTGAAGGAGGAAGGGGTCAGCAATTCTCAGCCACCTTGTTTGAGTGGGTGGTGTGAGTCTGGCTCTGTTCCTGCCACTCCCAGGTCACCTTGGCTCCCTGGGTTGGGCTGGGAGCCACCTGCCAAGGGCTAGTTTACATCACAAAGTGACCTGGGGCTCTTTCCTGGCTATCCTATGGCAGGCCTTTAACAATTGCAAGTAGAGGGCTGGGCTGGGTCTTCCCAGGGAATTTCCTTGAAGCTATTTTCTGGTGTCACCTGACTGCCTGTTGCTTATCTACTTCCTCTTGCCAGGTTGGGATCCTTTGACCTTCCACACCAGATCCCCTGCTGGGCACACTGGGACCCTTCCAACACTCTAAGTGTCAGAGTTGCAAGAGACTAACTAGGATGGGGAGGTAGCCTCCAAACCTGGGTGTGAGAGACCCCACAAGGATAATGGTTCCCCATTGTTGTTTATGGTGTATGATTATGATTTATTGTGTGAAGATGTGATGCATGATTTAAAATAGTGTTTCAGGTTTAAAAAGTGACTTGAGTGGCTGAGGCCAAGAGTGGCTACCGAGTTGATTGGTAGAGTGTTCACCTAACCTGAACAAAGCCTGGGGGTGACCTCAGTATTCCATAACCCCTTAACTGAGGATGGTGATGTGTCTATCATCTGTAATCACAACACTCTGGAGGTGGAGCAGGAGGATCATTCATTCTCAGTTATTCTCAGGGGACCCTGTGTCAGAAACAAAGCAACCTCAACCCTTTTGTTTCGTAACTCTGAAATCAGAATTCTCATTTCTAGTAATAATTTTTCCCCACTCCATTATCAAATAATCACTTAGGGTGTTGGGAAGATCTTAATATGGCAGACATACTGTAAGATACTTGGGATAGCCTTAAGTACACACCCTCCGATAGGAATAGGTAAAAGAGAATCGTATACTACAGCCTGGCCTGCTCACCCTCTCTAGGTGTTTGTCTTGAGACCAAATTTCTGTGAGTCTCTGCTTTAATCTGGTGAGGCTCCTGGTTTCTAATTCTGCTGTTGCCTAGTTGGAGGCCTTGGCAAATCAATATCCCAGTAGTGTCTGGCACCACTGTGTTCCTATGAGTAAAGCTGTCCGTGAATGTTCTCCAGAGGAAACCCCCGTGCCTTGCTGCACTTTGCTTGGAGTTTTTTGTCATGGTCACTCCTTCCCTTGACCATAGACAACCTACCTATTCTCCAGAGCTCTTTCCCATGCCACCTGCATGTTCAAGCCTGTTTCAGATGCCCTGTCCATTGTCAGGATGAGTGAACCTAGGCTTCCTATCTCCTAGTTAGTCTTTTAAGGAATTATTCAAGTTCTGCTTCATCCTGTTCTTCTTTTGCTGTTTGATGTACCTGGAAAATGACAAACATTTGAGGGTGGGAGTATGTAAAAACCTTTGCAAAACCCCATAGTTGTAGCATAGAAGAACACTGTAAAGAATCTGAAACTGGGGCTGGGGAAATGGCTCAGTTGGTAAGATGCTTGCTGTGCAAGCATGAGAACTTTTTAGTTGACCCCTTAGAACCAATAAAACTGGGTATGCTGGACTGGAGAGATGACTCAGGTTATGAGCACTTGATACTCTTTCAGAGGACCCAGCACCCACAACAACTGGTCCCAGTGAAGCTAACACCCTCCATTGGCCTCTGCAGGCATGCACACACGCACCCATAGATTTGAAACTTTTAAATAAACCTAAAAGAAAAAAGAGCTGGGATTGATATTCCCAGTATAGAGAAGGGAAAGACTGGTAGAGCCCTGGGGTTTGCTCGCCTATCAGTCTAGCTGGATTGGTGAACTCCAGGTTCAGTGAGAGACTCTTGTCTCAAAAAATAGGGTGGAAAACAAATCAGGCATGATAACAAACTCATTTAATCCCAGATTTTGAGGATTCTGTGTGGGCTATGGAGGTCACTCTGGTCCTAGTGTGTTAGCCTTGAGGCACACATAGGCAGGGCAGCTGATCAAGAGGAACAGGATGACATGGGAGAGGCAGGGTGGCTGGAAAGCATCCTAGGAATGTATGTTTGAGGGGATAGATCAGGAAGGTTCCATTCCCATTGTGATAAGGAAGCTGACCATGTGATCCTGGCCCACAACCCAGGCAATAGGTGTGAGGTACCAGTGCTGCCTCTTAGTGTAGACTTAGAAACAATTCTCTATCTGGCAGGAGCTGCCTCTGCTTGGCCTGAGTGGAGGTCACCCTGCAGATCCTGGGTCCAGTGCTAATTGGCCCCCTGAGGTGCCTGTGCACTCAATGTAATGACCACTTGGGCCTTGGGCCTCTGCCAACACCATCTATATTCTTCAGCAAAGGCAAGGACTCTGGAACAACCAGTTAGGGTGTGGAAGGCCCTTAGTATGTCCAGGCCTAGGGATTCAGAGGCCCAGAAATGAAGCTTAGAAATCTTAGTTGCTGAGAACATGCTTGGTGCTAAGTTTGATTCCCAGCACTCACATAGAAAAAGTTGGGCATGGTGAGGGAGGTAAAAACAGATCACTATGGCTCCCTGGCCAGCCAATCTAATATAATAAACTTGACAGTCCCAGGTCAGTTGGCTAGTGCTTGAGGAAGGACAGCTGTTGGTTGTCCTCTGGCTGCCCAATTTATGTGCATATACTGCACTCCTGTACATACCCATACAGAAGAGCTTCTTCATGCATAAGTAGACACGCCCACCTACATGCACACAGTGGCAAATAGAGAAAGGTGAATGGTTCTGTACAGCCATATCCAGGCTGGGCTCAGATGCTGTGGTCAGGAATTTCTGTGGTCCACATGCTAGCTGGGGCCCTTCTGCTTACTCTCAAGACCTCGGGGTTTGCAGGGTGCTCTGCATGTGATTGCTTCTCAGAAAGCAACATGGTCCAATTGTTTTAGTTTCCAGCTCTCTGCCTATTCCAGCATTCTTACTCAGGCTTGTTCTCCCACCTCTGAAGGCTGGGAGAGAAGAGTCACAGGGCTAGGCTGTTTCTTGGGCACCCATGGGAGGTGCCACTGTTGGCCGCTAACCTTCTGGTATCTCCAGGAAGTCCTTGGCTTGTAGCCACATCTTTTCTTTACCTCTGTCATCCTCTTTTTTTTTTTTTTTCCTGTCTGCCATCTCTGTGTGTCTCACTGTGCATGTCATTGAACTCAGGGCCCAGAGGGTTTCTCAGATTATCATCTTGCCTTAGAATCCGTACTTTAATTGTCTGAGACTGTCTATCTAATTAATTTAAGGCCACATTCCTGGTTTCCATGACTGGATTCCCATTCAGCTCAGTGTAGAAGGAGGGTGGAGGTGTCTCTCTAACTAGTTGCTTCTTTTGTTTAAAATCTTTTATAGTGTGTGCGTGTGTGTGTGTGTGTGTGTGTGTGTGTGTGTGTGTGTTAGTGGTGGTAGAGGTTAGATGACAATTTGTGGGAGTCTGTTCTCTCCTTACACCATTTCACCAGCCCTTTGTTTTTTGAGACAGAATGCTTGCCTTGACCCATGCTTGCCTTGAACTGACAACTTCCCTACACTGGGATTCTAGGCTGTATCTCCATTCTCTGCATTTCTATTAGCTGCTTGTGAAGCCATCCAGTAGTCTGTGGCTGCTTTGTTTGGGATTAGGTTCACATTTATATTTCCATGTGACTTTAGAGCCATATCTCCTCTTTGTCTCTAATGTCAGATTGGGAAAGTCTGTTCATTCTAAGCATCTCATAGCAGCTGCTCATATTAAAATAAAGCCCTGAAAAGCCTGAGTTGTTTATTCTGAGGCAAGGTCTGTGTTGCCCTGGTTGGCTTGCAACCCACAGTAACCTATCTACCTGCCTTTGCCTTCAAGTGCCATGCTTCAAGTGCCAGCATGCCTGGATAAAATGTTGATTTTTAATTTTAAAAAAATTATGTGTATGGGTGTTCTGGTTGTATATATGTTTTTATGTACATCACATATGTGCTTGATGCCCTCAGAGGACAAATTCCCTAGAACTGTAGCTATAAATGGTTATGAGCCACCATGTAAGATCTAGGAATTGAACTGAGGTTCTCTGGAAGAACAGGCAATGTTCCTAACTGCTGAGACATCTCTCTGGCCCTGAGAAGTTGATTATTTTAAATCAATTTTTAAAAAACATTTTTACTCTGTGTTAAAATTTTTACTGTGCAAGCATTTAGACCCAAGCTCTGAACCCCAGAACCCATGAATAAACTGGATGTGGCTAGGAGGCATGAACAGGAGGGTCAGGAGTTCAAGGTCTCCCTTAGCTGCATAGCCAGTCTGAGGCCAGCTCAGGCTACAGGAGATCCTGTCTAAGAATAAAGTTACAGAAAGAAATGGAAAAATGTATGCCTTCCTCTCTCAGGTCAGTCATATGAAATCCGGCTGCTGGAGAATCGGAAGCTAGGGGACTTCCAAGATCTGAACACGAAATACGTGAAGGTGAGTGAGCCTCGGGGCTGGCTCCTCACATGCTAGAGGGTGGTGTCTGAATGCCTGCTGGGGGTGGTAGGAAGGAATCCCTGAGCTATAGTCCCATCCCAGTTTCTGGAGTGCACTGTTCCCATGGGGATTAGATGGGTAGACAGTGGATGGGGGTGGGGGGTAGGGGTGGGGGTGAGGGTGGGGGGTAGGGGTGGGGGTAGGGGGTGGCTTACATTGATGAAGTATGCTCTGGGTTAGATAGAAGCTGTGGCCTACCCTCAATTGAACCTTTCTTACCTGCACATAACAGCATAGTAGTCAGACATGTATGTGAAGCTGTTTAGAATACTGGAAACCATGGAAGGCATCCACCTTCTTACCATTGTCCGGGTTCTTGGGATTCTGAGCAAAGGAAGCCCCAGGAAAAGGGGGCTGGAGTGTTTTCCCTGGCTGGGGACAGAGATGCATGCTCATCTTGAGGCCCCACAGTCCCTACACACATCTGTCTCCAACATTTACCTTCCACAGAGCATCATCCGTGTTGTTTTCCATGACCGCCGGCTGCAGTACACGGAATACCAGCAGTTAGAAGGATGGAGGTGGAGCCGGCCTGGGGACCGCATCCTGGACATTGGTGAGTCTCCTCAGCTAACACCAACCCTGGATGCTTGGGCCATATGGGCCTTCTTTGTGGGTGCCACTTGGATTAATGCTCACAGGGAAACCAGCCTGGTGGCACATACATGCAAGCCCAGTACTGGAGATGCACAGGCAGAAAGGCATTGAAGTTGAGGCCATGATGGTCTATAAATAGTGAGTCCATAAATGTAAATATAAATATGTTTCTTTTTCCAAAAGAAAGAGGACTGATGAGATGGCTCAGCTGGTAAGTGCAAGCATGAATTCAGTGTCGCACACACAACACACACACACACACACACATACACAGAGGCATGAATACACCCATACACCCATATAAGGCAGGAAAGAAGGAAATAGAACTTTCACTGAGTACCACCCTCCAGGAACTCTCTGTAGAAGAATACAAAGCCTTAAAGGGTGAGCAACCTGGCTAGCTTGAAACTCATTAGGTAGACAATGTTGGAAACTTGTCATAAGAAAACAGAATGACATCATGCATTCCACAGCATTTCCAGCCAGGCTATCTGCCAGCAGAGTTGAGCAAAGCTTCATTTCCAGATCAGGTGCTGTTTCAAACCACAGTGAAGGAGTTTGGGCCTGCATTGGGTCCTTCCCCTCAGTATTTAGGAGAGGCTGACCATTGTGCTTTTGTGTATGTGTGTGTACAGATATTCCACTGTCTGTTGGTATCTTGGACCCCAGGGCCAGCCCAACCCAACTGAATGCTGTGGAGTTTTTGTGGGACCCTGCAAAGAGAGCATCTGCATTCATTCAGGTAAGCAAACATGAGAGCTTTGGAGAGCTACCAGTCAGCTAAGATGGTCTTCAGTTGGAGGGACAGTAGCTGAGGGAAGACAGAGAATGGGAGGACTTGAGGTCACAGGTCAGGAACATTGAGGCAAGGACTTGGAATGGTGTGGAGTTGTTTGCATTCTTGCTCTTAGAATGCTGAGAGGTTAAAAAGGATTTGGTATTTCCAAGGCTAGGGAGACGGCTCATCAAAGTCAGCAAAGTACTTACCACAAAAGCCTGAGAACCTGAATTCAAGCCTCCATAGAAGAAACACTAGAATGGTGATCACTGTGTTGGGAGGTGATGGAGGTAGAACCCTGGGGCTTATTGCACTCAGCCTAGCTTAATTGTTGAGTCCCAGGCTAATGAGAGACCCTGGCTCAAGAAAAAAACAAGGTAGATAGACTACATCTGAGGGATCATACTTGAGATTGATATCTAATCCTATAAGGACACACACACACACACACACACACACACACACACACACACCACCCCATTAAAAAAAAAATCAGTGTGTTTTGGAGCTATGAGATTGCTTGAGGTAAAGGCGTCTGGCACTAATCCTGATGGCCTGAGTTTGAGTCCCTGAATGTAAATGGTGAAAGGTGAACTAACTCCCCAAAGCCCCTCTGACCTTTCACATGGGCCATTCACATTTACACACACATGGTAAATAAAGGTAAATAATGTTAACAAGGTGCTTTTGTTTTTGTTGTTGTTTGTTTTTGAGTTTTTTGAGACAGGGTCTTTATGTAGCTCTGGCTGTCCTAGAGCACTGTATGTCAGTGGTTCTCAACCTATAGGTCAAGATATCCTGCATATCAGTTATATATTTACAGTATGGTCCACAACAGTAGCAAAATTACAGTTATGAAATAGCAATGAAAATAATCTTATGGCTGGGGGCTCACCACAACATGAGGAACTAAAGGGTCACAGCCTTAGGAAGGTTAAGAACCATTGCTCTGTGTAGGCCAGGCTGGCCTCAACTTCACAGAGATAGATCCTCCTGTCTCTGCTTCTCAGGTGCTGGGGTAAAGGGTGTGTGTGTACCACCATGCCTAGCAATAACAAAAGTTTTAAAGCCAGTGTTTGCTGGATAACTGGAGAGAAATAGTCTCCCATCCAATCTAGTTGCTTATTTGTACCAGTGTGCCCCCTGCCTTGAATACATACTGTCTGGGGTTCAGATGGCCAAGGGTATGGCCGAGGCCTGGTGTTGTTTTTCACTTACCTGGCTTTTTCAATGACTGGCTGTATGTTGTTGTTTTTTAAGCTTTCCTGCCCATTTTTGTTTGTTTTTGAAACAGGGTCTTTCTATGGGGCTTCAAGCTGGCCTTGAACGTACTGTCTGCCTCAGTTTCCTGAGTGCTAGGATTATAAGTGCCACCACACTTTCCCTTCCCATTTACCAGATAAGAAGCATGCCAGGTCCAAGAGGATGGCTCAAGAAAAACTAGAGACAGTCAGTAAAATGCTTGCTGTGTATACATGAGGATTTGAGTTTGATCATCAGCTTGTAAGAGCTGGTCACATCTGCACACACCTGACTCCATCCAGTGCTAAAGGAATGGAGACAACAGGATTCCTGGGGCTTGTCTACCAGCTAGCCTAGCCAGTGAGAAACCCTGACTTAAAAAATTAAGTGGCTCTCATCAATCATGGTGAGCTCTTATTCCACACCTTTAATCCTACCATTTAAGACGGAGGTGGATCTCTGAGTTTGAGATCAGCCTGGTCTGCATAGTAAGTCCCAGGACCACCAGGGCTCTCTGTCACAACACCACCAACAACAAAACAAAAGAAAAAAATCCAACAAAACAGACAAACAAATAATAACTACAAAGCAACAACAAAAAAAGTTGTGTGGGGAGCAACCAAAGAAGACACAAATGTCAAAATCTGTCTTCTAGGTACACATGCACATGTATGTCCACACACAGACACACACACACAGGAACACAGTGATACAATTTTTAAAAACAAATAATATTCTCATTGCAAAATGTAGTTATTTTATTATTGTAGTAATACTGTATTTTATAACATTACAGTATCAGAACAATAAGTAAGTATCTGGTGCCTCCTATGTAGTATGCACTTAGAAATAGATGAGTTTGGCATTCCCTCTATGGCTCTAGGCCTGTTCAGTGACCAGTATGTCAGAGAGCAACAAGGCTGTGCTCAGTTGCCCCACAAGTCTGGGATTTATGAAGGGGAAGGTTTCTGGATGGGGTGATGGTATGGCTTCTGTGGTTAGTGGACGGAACAATGGTGAGGATTTAGCTGATCAGACAGAGCCCCAGAGTAATGGGACAGAGGTGGGGTGATATATATATTTTCTCTGTGTATGCTCTGTAGCTGGAGTGCAAGGAGGCCTGGGCCTGATGAGGTAAGTGGGGAGTTAGGCAAAGCAGGCTTGGTAACCTCCTTGAGGAGGTGGAGCCCTTAGGGGTATACAGAGTCCCCTCATCTACTGACTTAAGGCCCTACATTCCCCTCCCAGGTGCACTGTATCAGCACAGAATTCACCCCCAGGAAGCACGGGGGTGAGAAGGGAGTGCCTTTTCGGGTGCAGATTGACACGTTTAAACAGAACGAGAATGGGGAATACACAGAGCATCTACACTCTGCCAGCTGCCAGATCAAGGTGTTCAAGGTAGGATGCGCTTAACACAGCCACCCTGGTCAAACCTGGTCAAAGGGCCCATACAGCCAGCTGGGTGTGTGGCCTCCCACTAGCTGGGGCCTCTCTCTTGACTCTGGCTTCTGTCCCTGCCCAGGAACAAAAGTTACTCAAAAGTGTTGGGAAGGGGTGTCTCCCCATGTCAGTACAAGGCTCTGCTTTTGTAAGAATGACTGTTTTTGCATCTTTAAGTTGTATTTTTCCCTACTCCAAGTGTTTTCACAGGTATACATATGTTCTCCCATATCTAGTGTCTCCTTAAAGATGAGAGCAAATGTAGGTATACCAGCACCCAGAGGCAAGTGGATCTCTGATATTCAGACCAGCCTGGTCTACAGTAGTGAGCTCCAGGCCAGCCAGGGCAACATAGCTAGCAAAATCCTGTCTCAAAATAAAACAAGAACAAAAACGAAGCAAACACGAGGTCCCATGAGGGCCATTCTTTGGTAGTTTAGCTCAATGCCATTTTTCTCTGCATTGGTTGGGTGTGTGTGTGTGTGTGTGTGTGTGTGTGTGTGTGTGTGTGTGTGTGTGTTTGTGGTCCCAGGGATTGAAGTTGGTGCTGAACAATCTCGACAGTTCATTGTCTACCTTAGTTTTTGAGACAGATTTTCTCACTGAACCTGGAACTTTTCAGTTCAGTAAGACTAGCTGACCACTAGCTGACCGTTGAGCTCCAGGGATCCTCCTGTTTCTGCCTCCTCGGGACCAGCATTAAAAGCATGTGCTGCCACGCCTGGCTCTTTACACAGATGTTGGTTCGGGCCTCATTCTTGCATGACAGGCAGACAGGCACTCGGCAGAGCTCTGTTACTGAGAAATGCTGCCCGTTCCAGTCTCGCTTTCTCTTCAGAAGCACTGTCTGTCGTGTGACAGCTCAGTAATAGAGGGTTCTAACATTCAAGGTGGTCCTGAGTTCTGACACATGTACCAGAAACAATAAATTCATCTTCAAGAAAGAAACATCTTCAGAAGTCCATGCAGCCTCCTCTTGCCCTGACTCACCCTGCAGTCTCTTATTGCTGGTTCCTATCTGCTCATCGGGATTGATTATTTCCTGAAGGTGGGAGCCAGCCTCTTACTCACAGTCCCTAATGCCCTTAGGGAAAAGGAGGGTGCAGCAGGCCTGTGTCATTCTTGCAGTATGAGGCTAGCCTATGACCAGCAGGTTTAACCTGTTTCTGTCCACCTGTAGAGAAATGGAACCCCCTTCTATCAGGGGTCACTATGGGTGACCAGACTCAATACCCTTCTTCACACCTTGATGAATTTGGAACCTGTTGGAAACAGGTTAGTTTCAGATACGACTGTGTTAGAGAGACAGCAGGGTCATGTTGATCTTCCTAAGCAGGGATCGACCAGAACCAAATATTCACAAGTGTAACCACAGACCTGGAGGCTGAGCAGTGGAGGCTGCCCCCCAACTGGCTTGGTGTGCCCTGAAAGCAAGACTGCCTTCACTATGTGTGGCCTGCTACTTTGAGTCTATGGCAGGCATGTTACCTATAAACTTTTTTTTCTCTGTATGTATGGTGTGTGTGTGTGTGTGTGTGTGTGTGTGTGTGTGTGTGGTGAGTACACATGTGTAGCATGTGGAGGTCAGAGGTCAATCTTAGGGTCTCTGGGATTCACCTGCCTCATTTTTTAGATAGATTCTCTCACTGGACCTAGAACTAGCCCATTAGGCTAAAGGATCTATTTCCCACCTCTGGAATTACAAGTGCTTGTCACCATGCCCCAGTCTTTTTACATGGTTTCAGGGGGATCAAATTTGGGTTCTTGATGTGTTGGATTTCTGAAAGACAAAGCCATCCTGTTCTGACCAGCTCCTTGAAGGATGTGAGGTGGAAAGCTTTACTCCACATGCATGCTAGCCCATGGTCCTGCTGTATCTACCTCACCAATGGCTTCTGATGCAAGGAGGAGAGGCCTTCAGTGAGCACAGGACTTCAATACTAGTGCAGAGAGCTAGGTGTGGCTGCTTGCCCGGTTCCCAGACAGGTTTTTGGTGTTCATATTGAATACCATGCCTGTATTCCTATGTGGCTTACTACAAGCTTATCTTTACCTAGGGATGGGTCACCCTGAGGGAGGCTTCCCTAAAAGCCCTTAAGGGGGGAACCAAAAGGCATCCCCTGAGGAAGGCGCACTCTGGGATGCAAGTTCTGTGAGGCCACTAGACCTGAACTAAGTGTTTGTATTTGCACATCAAGGAGTCTGAGTCATGTACCTGTGCTTGTCAAGCAGGATGGGAGCCATGAGAGAGGCACAATGAAGGAGACACAGGAGGGAAAGACTGTACCTTCAGGTCTCTCCTGCCAATAAGCCCTGTGCCTCTAGTTTGTGAAGAAGAGATGATAGTGGCTCCAAGGCTGGCACTCGCTGACACTCTTCATGAGTAGCAATATATTCTGCAGCCTGTTGCGCCATCATTTAGCCACAGCAGAGACAGATGCCTTTGGGACTGAGATGTCCTGAGGGCTGGGTGGGATGCTGGGCCTGAGCAGAGTTGAGCATGGCACAGTGCGGGCCAGAATCCACTCTCCCACCTTTCTTCAGTCTCCATCAGTTGCCCCTGTGATCAGTACTGTAATAGACATATCCTGTCTTGGTTCTCCAAAAGCAAGTAACCATTGGTAGCAATCTTCCTAACCTACTGAGCTCAAAGATCCCAGGGATGCAAAGAAACCATGCCACTCAGAAGGTTCGAGAGCTGTCCTGACTGCTTTTGGGGTGCCAGGGTGAAGTGTGACTCTGCAGGCCTTGGTCTTCTTTCCCAGCCAATGGCTGATTTCTGGCCTAAGTGGACCCGGTGTTCTGTGCTTGCAGCCCAAAGGAGCTGATCGGAAACAGAAGACTGACCGGGAAAAGATGGAAAAAAGGACAGCTCAGGAGAAGGAGAAGTACCAACCATCCTATGAAACCACCATCCTCACTGAGGTGAGTTAGGGCTGAGGCTGAGAGTGGGCCTGGAGCAGGCGGTGGGCATGGTGCACAGTAGTAGAAGATCAACCATTAGGGAAGGTAGGTGGGAACTTTGTGGAGAGCCCAGGGCACACGTCCATGAGGCTGCTGGTGGGTTATTCTGAGGTCACCTTGAGCTGCCTGCTGTGTTTGAATGTTGGTGCTTTTGAGGAAAATGTGAATGAACAGGTGATACATTCAGTCATGGTTCAAAATGTAAAACAGTGCAACCAAAAGTATCTCCCCCACTGACGCATGCCTTGCTCTTCTCCACTCTCAGCCAGCGTCTCTCTCTAGGCATGCCTGTGTCTGTATAGCAACAATACACACTGTTCTGCACTGTGTCTTTTGTATTTAGTGGCTCATTTTACACATGACTCCTGCCCTTTCATAAAGAACTTTCTAGTTCCTTGTTCAGCTGTGCAGTGTTCTGGTGCAGGCCTTTCTTGTAGACTGAACACGGCAGGACTATGCACAGGGCTTCACTCTGCGTGAGGTCACTGGCCGGTAGTCTAAGCTCTGGCTGTTGTGTTGTGTTGTGTTGTGTTGAGACAGGGGCCTCCATGTATCCCTGACTGTCCTGGAATTCTCTCTGTAGACCAGACCAGGCTGGCCTCCAACTCACAGAGGTCCACCTGTCTCTGCGTCTTGAGTGCTGGGATTAAAAGCGTGTGCCACTACGTCCACTAGCATGGATTTTTTTTATAGTTCCTGGCTGGTGCCTGAGAGACTGACTGCTCGGCAGGTAAAAGTATTTGCTGCATAAGCCTGGCAACTGAGTTTGAGCCCCAGATCCAAGGTGGAAGGAAAGAACTGACTTCCGAGTGTTATCCTCTGACCTCAGTACACAAGCCATGTCACATGCACACCAGGGGACACACACACACAACCCCCCCACACCATATATACTCATAATAAAATAAAAAAATAAACTTGTAAAATAAAATATAATCAAATAATATGAGTAAATTTGTAAATTTAAGATTCTGTGTCAGAGCTGGAACCCAGGAACCCACTGAGCTGTACCCCATCCCCAGCACTGGCTAGTTCTTATTTGGACAGATAAAGAAATGCATTTCCTGTTAAGCTGGACACCAAAGAGGCAACTCTCTGCAGCCAGCAGTCGGCAGTCCTGCAGGTTCAAAAAATTCCTCAATTAGCAGCTCTCCTGCTTCCTGTCACTGGTCATCTGGGCGCCTTTCCTTTTGTTGGCCTGTTCTCTCTCTCTTCCTTCTTCCCTCCCTCTCTACTGACCTACTCTCCTTTCTTTTTCTCCTTCCTTCCTCCCTTCCCTTCCCTTCCCTCCCTCCCTCCCTCCCTCCCTCCCTCCC